AGGGTCCCTAACCATAAACAGCTTAGCCAATAGCAGCCCGCCTAACAAAACACCCGATGAAATTCCTCTATGTGCTTTAAAAACCTCAGCTCTTCACGAGGGCTTTGCCCTTTCTCCAGCCATGCTGAAGGGAAGAGTAGCCCGGGCATATGCTTGCAAAATGAAGCACTTTTTGTCTTTACGTGTGTGGTGGTCTCTCAGTGGCAATTCTGGTCCAAACATTGCCATGTGGCTATTTCGTCAGGATATGAGTTTTATATTATTTTTGTTAATTTTATAATGTTAAACTTTAGTAATAAATAATTGTTGAGAACCGATTATCGAGAACTGCTTATCAAAGTTTGCATTGTTGATCAGTTCTTAAAATTCGACCACCATCGTTTGGACTTAATGAACAATGGCATTTTTTGGCATTGGCAACCATGAAAACATTTTGTAACTGTCTCTCAGACGTTACACATCGTACTGTGTGCTAATGCTAGTTAAACAAATCAGCTATTCAGATAATTTAGGTAAGTTATTTATTTCATGAATTTAGCAGACAGTACTCATATTATTTATATTTTATAGTGGCAGCAAAAAGTCTAGTGCCAGCCTTGAAAGTGACACGACTTACAAGGTATCATTATTAAAAAAAAATATTGATAAGGAAAAGGTTAACTCTTGGGCATCAGCAAAAATCACAATAGAGAACAAATGTTTAGAAATATTTCATCATTTTAAAACAAATCATGTTCCATTCAATAATGCACTAAAAACTGTGGGACATGTGCTGTCCTTCCCAGGAACTAATGCTGTGACTGAATGCGTTTTTCTACAGTAAATAAAGTGTGGACATCAGAAAAATCACAATTAAGTGTTGAGACTTTGAAAGCCACTTTATGTGTGAAATATAATTTAACAAATTCTTATGAAAAATTTCATGACCTTTTAAACAATGACAGCAATCTACTAAAAAAAAATTCACTCAAATGGGAAATATGTCAAAGAATAGAAACCCAGGGCTGGGTTTGAACCTGACACCTTTGGCATATGGGGCTGGCGCCCTACTCCTCTGAGCCACAGGCACTGCTCTATACATAATTTTTTTAATGTATTATATTTGTAAATTGTACTTATGTTGAAATTTAAAAAATATATATTACAATACTATTTTTGCATTCTATGAAAATTTTTTGTTGCTCCATATAGACCAAATTTTTAATTAAGAACGCCCCATCCCCACCCCCACCGCCATCCTGCTTTACCAATGTTAAAATCTGGTCACCTTAGCCTTGACGCAAACAGGGGCCTGGTACTAACTCCTCAGCCCAGCAGCCTGCGCACACCATCTTGTGGGCTCAATGAAAAGTGCCCACTTCCCCTCTTGTACCCCAGCGCCAGTCTCTGACGTAGAGTGAACTCTCTGGGGGCCTGGTGCGGACCCTGTCCTCACTAAACAACAGTGGAACAATAAGTAGGTCAACCCTCTGATGGATGGAGGAAACAAGGAATTCCCGCCGTGGTTGACTTTCAGAGTTTATCAGCTTCTGCTCATTTGGGGGGTTAGAAACACAATCTGTACTTAATTGTTCCCGTCTCCCCATTACTCAGTATGTAAGAGGACAAACAGCCTCACTCACTCCCGGCCAAAGCTGTAAAAAGTTGCTGAGTGATCTGACAAGTCATGTCTGCCCTCCTGAGTGCTGTAAAGACCATCACCACCATGAGCCAGAGAAGAGGGGAAAAAAAAACAGGTGTGCAGCTTGGGAAAGTAACAGACACTTGAGTCCTTCAGCTAGAGCTTAGCGGCCAAAGATAGTAACTTTGGGGGAGGTATAAGAACTCTGTGAAACTCTCCCTGTCTTCTTGTGATTCTGAATATTGGTCCTTAGATTCAGAATCACACACACACACATACAATCTTTTGTCCTTAAAGGACAAAACTTTAACTGCTGCCAGTGTTTGGTTCTTGCTCCTGGTTCCTTTGGTCTTTAAAAACCTGGGAAAGTCCTCCTTCCCCTTGGCGTTTTAGAGTCTTGGTGGTATTGGTTTGGCAAAGAAAGCAGAGCCAAGACTGAGTATCCAGGTAATAAGGGATTTTACAGTTACCAATTTGCAGAGACTTTTTTTTTTTTTTTGAGACAGTCTCAATATGTTGCCCTCAGCAAAGTGCAGTGCTGTCACAGCTCACAGCAACCTCAAGCTCTTGGGCTTAAGTGATACTCTTCCCACAGCCTCCCAAGTAACTGGGACTACAGGCGCCTGCCACACCACCCAGCTGTTTTGTTGTTCTTGTTGCAGTTGTATTTTAGCTGGCCCAGGCCGGGTTCAAACTCGCCACCCTTGGTGTATGTGAACAGCACCCTGCCTACTGAGCTAGGTGCGCCAGGGCTTTTGTTGAAGCTGGACACCTGACTTGGGAACTACTGCTTAGGCAGGCAGCGTAGAGTAGTGTAGTAGTTCCAAACCTGGCTCCACAAAATTAGTTAGAAACTTTTATTAAATTTCCACTTTCTGGGAATCCACTTCATCCCTCCCTCCCATCGCCAGAGATAGCCTAGGTTACGGTGGAAGGGGAGCCTGGCCTTTTTTATTATTATTAACAAACTTTATTTTTTAGAGCAGCTTTAGGTTCAGGGCAAAACTGAGCAGAAAGTACAGAAGAGCTCCTGAGTACATAGTATCCCCTGTATACACACATACACACACACACACCCTCTCTCCCTATGGATACCTGTGCCACAGTGGTATATTTGTTAACAACTGATGACTCATCATTATCACCTAGAGTCCATAGCTTACATTACTGTTCACTCTTTTTGTTTTTTAAGAGACAGAGTCTCACTTTGTCGCCCTTGGTAGAGTGCCATGGCATCACAGTTCACAGCAACCTCCAACTCTTGGGCTTAGGTGATTCTCTTGCCTCAGCCTCAGCCTGTAGCTGGGACTACAGGTGCCTGCCACAATGCCCAGCTATTTTTTTGTTGTTGCAGTTGTCATTGTTTAGTGGGCCTGGCTGGGTTCAAACCCACCTGTCTCAGTTTATGTGGCCGGCCCTACCCACTGAGCTACAGGCAGTTTGGCGGGGACCGGATTTGAACCTGCCACCCTTGGTATATGGGGCCAGCACTCTACTCACTGAGCCACAGGCTCCACCTAGTTCACTCCTTTTTTGTTTGCTTGTTTGTTTGTCTGAGACAGAGTCTCACTCTGTTGCCCTGGGTAGAGTGACACGGTGTCACAGCTCAGCCTCCACTGTAGCTGGGACTCTAGGCACCCACCACAAAGACTTGCTAGTTTTTCTATTTTTATTTTTATTTATTTTTAGACAGAGTCTTACTATGTCGCTCTTGGTAGAGTGCTGTGGTGTCACAGCTCACAGCAACCTCAAACTCTTAGGCTTAAGCAATTCTCTTGCCTCAGCCTCCCAAGTAGCTGGGACTACAGACACCTGGCACAAGCCTGGCTGTTTTTTGTTGTTGTTGCAGTTGTCATTGTTGTTTAGTAGGCCTGGCTGGGTTTGAACCCACCTGCCTCAGTTTATGTGGCTGGCACCCTACCCACTGAACTACGAGTGCCATGGCTAGTTTTTCTATTTTTAGTAGAAATGTGTCTTGCTCTTGCTCAGACTGTCTCAAACTCCTGAGCTCAGGTAATCCACCCACCTCCACCTCCCAGAGTGCTAGGATTACAGTTATGAGCTACCACTCCCAGCCTAGTGTCCACTCTTGAGGTTGTACATTCTATGGGTTTTGACAAGGGTATAATGACATGTACCCGCCCTTAAGGTATCATATAGAATAGATTCACTGTCCTAAAAATGCTCTGTGCTCTGCCTGTTCATCCCTCCCTCTGCCCAATCCCTGCAACCACTATTCCTTTACTGTCTTTATAGTTTTGCCTTTTCCAGAATGTCATATATTTAGAACCATAAAATATCAAGCCTTTACAGATTAGTTTCTTTCACTTAGTAATATGCATTAAAGATTCTTCCAAGTCCTTTCATGACTGGATAGTTCATTTAAGTGCTGAATAATATTGAATTCTGCAGTTGTCCCAGAGTCTACCCATTCACCTTCTAAAGGACTTCTTGGTTACTTCCAAGTTTTGGCAATTATAAGTCAAGCTGTTCTTTACATCCATGTGCAGATTTCTGCATATACTTAAGTTTTCAATTCATCTGAGTAAATGCCAGAGTACAACTGCTGGGTTGTGCAGTATATTTACTTTTATAAGAAACTGCCAAACTGTCTCAAAGTGGTTGCATCATTTTGCATTTCCACCAGCAGTGAATGAGAGTCCTATTGTTCCACATCCTCATTAGTATTTTGTGGTGTTATTATTGTGGATTTTGGCTGTTCCAATAGTTGTAGTGGAGTATCTTTTTGTTGTTTTATTAATAATATGTAATTCCTGGCCAGGGACAGTGGCTAACACCTATAATCTTTTTTTTTTTTTTT